CAGGATTGAGATGTGGGGAATGAATATGAAGACATGACATGTGTTTTATTCATCTTTCGTCTCCCTCAAGGAGTTATATGGTGCCTGGAAGTGTTCAACATGGTGTTTTAATTAATCCCATGTAAGCGCGGCTTAGTTAAGAGCAACTTAGGAATGTGGCTCAGAGTAGGGTCACGATTCCATAATGAGCTGTTTATGCCATTTTCCAGGCATTCTGGTAGCTTACACAGGGTCACATCCTTTGTGTGTTTCTCTTCTTTGGCAGTTAGGGGAGACAGCTTAGATTTACTGTCTTCTGACTCTTAGCTCCTCATGGTAAGTAATGTTATTATCCCCATTTTATAGATGAAGAAAACAAGGCACAGAGATGTTGTGCCACTTGCCTGAGGTGACTCAGATAAAAAGTGGCTGAGTAGAGGCTTGAATCCAGGTCTCTGTTATTCCCCCTGCCTTCTCCTCTACTCACCGACTGGGGTTTACAGGGGCCTGTGGAAGAAGCTTATGAAGAGCTCTGGCTCCAGAGTCTGGGTTTGAATCCCAGCCCTGCCTCTGAATACCTGTATGACCCAGGGCTGGTGATCTAGTCTCTCTGAGACTCAGTTTCGTCATCTGTGAAATGGGAAAAATATTACCACCACTTTTATAGGATTGTATGAGAATTAAATATAGAATGTTAACCAGCCGCACACTCAGAGCGGCTAAAATGAAAAGAACTGTCAACATCAAGTGCTGATGAGGATGCTGAGCACGTGGACCTTTCTACATTGCAGGTGGGAATGTGAGATGGCACAGCCACACTAGAAAACAGTTTAGCAGTTTCATACAAAGTAATCATGCACTTAGCGTTTGACTCAGCAATCCCCCACCTGGGTGTTTACTGAAAAGAAATGAAACCATGTGTCCCCACAATGACCTGTGCACAAATGTTTTTAAGAGCCTTTTTCATAATTTCCCAAAAGCTGGAAACAACTCCAATGTCCTTCAGCTTGTCCCGGATAAACAACTGGTGGTGCAGCCACAGGGTGGAGGAGCACTGAGTAGTGGACACATGAGCTGTGGACGAATCTCACAGGTTATGCTGAGTGAAGGAGGCCAGACTCAAAAGGCGACAGTTGAAAAAAACTGGTCAGAGGCCGGGTAAGAGACTGACTACTATGGGGTCCAGGGAAACTTTTTGGGGTGATGGAAATATTCTATCTCTAGATTGTCCACTTGAGAAGGGAAATTTCACTCTATGACCAGAGACCTGATGCCCCTGACTGTGCAGCAGGTGACAGGCTCAGCCAGTGATGGCCACACGGGGGGTGAAGGGAAATTAGATACTAGGCTCTGCCTGTGGAGGCACCTTGGAGGAGGGACATTTCATTTCACATGAAATGTTCTGATACTATTAAAGGAAATGAAAAAGAAAAGAACAACCCACTCATCGCCCCTGCTTCTATTTACGTCCTCGGGAACCAGGAGAAAAATCTGTCCTTGGTCTCCTTTTCTCCTCCACCTTGAGTGGTGGGAGTGATGAAGTTTGCTGGCTGAAGTGCAGCTCCGAGGAGCCGAGTGAGGACTGTGCACATTGCTCAGAACCCCAGGATGCTGGGCCCCCCAGACAGGTTCTTTGATATCATCCTGGGGATAAGGGTGGGGTGGTCAGAGTCCATCTAGGAGGGGTACACAGAGTCCATGCTCCCCTGTTCATCCTGGAGCTGGCTTGTAGGGCTTGGAGCCTAAGGATCAGGATCGATTTTGGGGGCACAGCTTGTCTGGTGGACCCCAAAATTCCTCAAAATAGGAATTTTGAACAGAGGAGAAATGTAATTGAGAAGCAGAAGGGAGACTCCACAGGCAGTAACCTCAGGACCCATGTGCACATTCATCCAACATGTTTTTTTTTGTGCGTTGAGGAAGATCAGCCCTGAGCTAACATCCATGCCAATCCTCCTCTTTTTGGTGGAGAAGACCGGCCCTGAGCTAACATCTACTGCCAGTCCTCCTCCTTTTTTTCCCATTTTCTCCCCAAAGCCCCAGTAGATAGTCGTATGACATAGTTGCACATCAACACGTTTTCATTATGCACCTGCTACCTGCTGGGTTGTAGGCATGTTCTAGTTGCTGGGAGTACCTCCATGAGCAAGAAGGAAACAGGCCATGCCTTCAAGAAGATTGTGGTCATCTCAAGAGAGGGCAGAGGGGGAGCTCTCTTTCCTTCCCTCTCTGATGGGTCTTTGGATCGCACTAATGGGAAGCTCTTGTATTGGTGAAGATAATTGTCTTCCCACATGAGAGATTTTAACACACTGGGGGAGGCTGACATGCTTGATGACACCCAGTACAGGCTTATGGCAGACACTAGGATGGCCCACATTATTCTTTCCTCCTGATATCCATGCCCCTTGTCATCTCCTCCTCTTGAACGTGGGCAGGACCTGTGACTTGCTTCTAACCAATAGGACATGGCAAAGCAGATGGGATGTCACTTTTGTTATTATGTTGTATGAGATTGTGGCTTCTGTCTTTCCAGCAGACTATTTGTGTAGACATTCTCTCTTGCTGGCTCTGATGAAGCAAGCTACCCCATGGAGAGGTCCACGTGGCTTGGAAAGTGGGTGACCTCCAGCCAAGAGCCAGTGAGGAACTGAGGCTGCTAGTCTGACAATCTGCAAGGAACTGAATCCTGCCAACAACCTGTGAGCTTGGAAGTGGACCCTTCTCCGGTCGAGCCTCAGATGAGACCACGTCCCTGCCTGACACCTTGACTGCAGCCTTGTGAGAGGTCCTGAAACAGAGGACCCAGCCAGACTGGACTCCTGACCCACACAAACTCTGAGAAGACACATGTGAGTTGCTTAAGTTGCTAAATTTGTGTTATTTTGTCACCAGCAGTAGGATATTAATACATGGCTAGGAATTTCTAGAAAACTCCACTAAGATCCACCTGGATGCCTCCTGCTCTTCTCCATTAGAAGGCGATGTCTGTGCCCTGCAGGTTGGTTTTCTGCTCAGGCTACGTGAGTGATCTGAGAAGGAGGGGGTTGACATCATTGCTCTGCTTTTCTACAAACCTCCATCCACACAATAAGGATTGCATTTCCGTGGCTCTTCGTGCTCTTCTGAGTGCTTTGAGATATATGATCTCTTAAAAAAGTATTGTTCCTGCATTATCCTCACTGACACAGTTCAGAAGAGTTAAGGGATCAGCTCAGGTTCACATAACAACCTAGTTACACAGGAGGGACTAGAAGCTGGATCACAGAAGGCTCTGGTCTTGGGAGGCTCTTGTCCTGGGCCAGGCTCTGTTCTCACACACACCACCTGGTTTCTGTCCATTGGTTAGAGTGTGAGGTGGACATCTCATGATGGCTGCAGTCTCCATCCCAGGGGGACTCAGAGAAGCCATTCTACCCTCCCAGAGGACCTCTGGGAAGGGAAAGTGGAGTCCTGACTCCAGGGCCAGGTGTTCTCCATGAGGACTGATCGTCAGCCAGGGCCGACCCGTGGCCGCCAGCAAGGAAGCCATGTAATCTCATTGTGCTGGACGGGCCTGGCAAAAAGATTAGACAACAACGTTTACTTTGCCATTAGCCTTGCCTGACACCAGGCTTTGAGGGGCACTGGGAACTGCATCGCTGCTGGAGGACACCCCCTGCCAAGAGCACAGGTGTTCAGAAAATTTCCATGAACATATCAAATCAAGCAATGGAATGTAATCTAAAGAACCCAATCACGGCAAAACCAAGATGGAACACTTAAGCACGATAATCGTTATGGAGCTGGGCTGATAGACCTTGGGGCAGCCTCTTGGTCCTGGAGTTTCACCACCGACTTCTTCCACTTTGCTCTTCTCCCTAGAAACATAGAGCTTGTAAAGGGCTGGATGTGAGAAACCCAGGCTCAGAGAGGGAACGTGGCTTGGTCACGGTCACACTCTCAGCACACGGAGAGCCCACACCAACGCCTGTGCTTGCTGACACGTCTCAGTGCTCCTCATGCCACACCTTGAAGTGAGGTCTGATGAGTTTGTTTACCGTTCCTTCTTCTTTTCTTCTCTTTCAGGTGTACATCATTATATATCTATTCTGTGTAGGTTACATCAAGTTTACCATCCAAAGACTAATTACAATCCATCACCATATACATGTGCCTAATCACCCTTTCCGCCCTCCTCCCTCCCCGCTTCCCCTCTGGTAACCACCAATCCAATCTCTGTCTTTATGTGCTTGTTTGTTGTTGTTTTTATCTTCCATTTGTGAATGAGACCGTATCGTATTTGACACTCTCCCTCTGACTTATTTTGCTTAGCATAATACCCTCCAGGTCCCTCCATGTTGCCACAAATGGCAAGAGTTCATCATTTTTTATGGCTGAGTAGTATTCAATTGTGTATAAATACCACATATTCTTTATCCATTTGTCCCTTGATGGGCACCTAGGTTGCTTAAGAGTCTTGGATATTGTGAATAATGCTGCAGTGAACACAGGGTGCATATATCTTTACGCATTCGTGTTTTTGTGTTCTTTGGATAAACACCCAGCAGTGGAATAGCTGGATCGTATGGTAGTCCTATTCCTAACTTTTTGAGGAATCTCCATACTGTTTTCCATAATGGCTGCCTGAGTTTGCACTCCCACCAGCAGTGTATGAGAGTTCCCTTTTCTCCACATCCTCTCCAAAACTTGTTATTCTTTCTCTTGTTAATTATTGCCATTCTGATGGGTGTAAGTGATATCTCATTGCAGTTTTGATTTGCATTTCCCTGATAATTAGTGATGTTGAACATCTTTTCACGTACCTGTTGACCATCTGTATATCTTCTTTTGAGAAATGTCTGTTCAGATCTTTTGTCCATTTTTTAATTGGATTGTTAGCTTTTTTGTTGTGGAGATGTATGAAATTTTTATATATTTTGAATATTAACCCCTTATCAGGCACATGGTTTTCAAAGATCTTCTGCCAATTGTTAGGTTGTCTTTTCGTTTTGTTGATGGTTTCCTTTGTTATGCAGAAGGTTTTTAGTTTGATGTATTCCCATTTGTTTTTTTTTTCTATTGTTTCCCTCGCCTAGTCAGACATGGTACTTGAAAATATGCTGCTAAGACTGATGTTGAAGAGCGTACTGTCTACGTTTTCTTCTAGAAGTTTCGTGGTTTCAGTTCTTACACTCAAGTCATTAATCCATTTTGAGTTAATTGTTGTGTATGCTGTAAGATAATGGTCTACTTTCATTTTTTGCATGTGGCTGTCCAGTTTTCCCACCACCATTTATTAAAGAGACTTTCCTTTCTCTGTTGAATATTCTTGGCTCCATTGTCAAAAATTAGCTGTCCCTAGATGTGTGGGTTTATTTCTGGGCTCTTGGTTCTGTTCCATTGATCTGTGTGTCTGTTTTTGTGATAGTACCATGCTGCTTTGATTACTATAGCTTTGTAGTATATTTTGAAGTCAGGGAATGTGATACCTCTAGCTTTATTCCTTTTTCTCAGGATTGCTTTGGCTATTCACGGTCTTTTGTTGTTCCATATAAATTTTAGGATTCTTTGTTCTATTTCTGTGAAAAATGTCATTAGAACTTTGGTAGGGATTGTGTTGAATCTGTAGATTGCTTTAGCAAGTATACATATTTTAACTATGTTAATTCTTCCAATCCAAGAGTACAGAATATCTTTCCATTTCTTTGTGTCTTCTTCAATTTCTTTCAACAATGTTTTATAATTTTCAGCATACAGTTCTTTCACCTCTTTCATTAAATTTATTCCCAGGTATTTTATTCTTTTTGTTGCAAGTCTAAATGGGATTGTATTCTTAATTTCTCTTTCTACAACTTCGTTGTTAGTATACAGAAATGCAACTGATCTTTGCATTTGAGTTTGTATCCCGCAACTTTACCATATTCATTTATTATTTCTACAAGTTTTTTGGTAGGTTTTTCAGGGTTTTCTATGTACAAAATCATGTCATCTGCAAATAGTGACAGTTTCACTTCTTCCTTTCCAATTTGGATCACTATTATTTCTTTTTCTTGCCTGATTTCTCTGGCTAGGACTTCTATCACTATGTTAAATAAGAGTGGTGAAAGTGGGAATCCTTGTCTGGTTCCTGTTCTTAGAGGGATAGCTTTTAGTTTTTCACCATTGAGAATGATATTAGTTGTAGCTTTGTCATATACAGCCTTTATTATGTTGAGCTACTTTCCTTCTGCACACGTTTTATTCACAGTTTTTATCATAAACGGATGCTGTATCTTGTCAAATGATTTCCCTGCATCTATTGAGAGGATCATGTGATATTTATTCTTCATTTTGTTAATGCAGTGTATCACGTGGATTGATTTGCAGATGTTGAACCATCCCTGCATCCCTGGAATAAACCCCACTTAATCAAGGTGTATGATCTTTTTAATGTATTTTGTGTTCAATTTGCTAGTATTTTGTTGAGGATTTTTGCTCTGATGTTCATCAGTGATATTGCCGTGTAATTTTCCTTTTTTGTGTTGTCCTTGTCTGGTTTTGGTATCAGGGTAATGTTGGCTTCATAGAATGAGTTAGGAAGCTGCCCCACGTCTTCAATCTTTTGGAAGAGTTTGAGAAGGACAGGTATTAAGTCTTCTTTTAGTGTCTGGTAGAATTCACCAAGGAAGCTGTCTGGTCCTGGCCTTTCATTTTTGGGGAGTTTTTTGATTACCGTTTCGATCTCCTTACTGGTGATTAGTCTATTCAAATTCTCTATTTCTTCTTGTTTCAGTTTTGGAAGGTTGAGTGAGTCTAGGAATTTATCCATTTCTTCTAGATTATCTGATTTGTTGGTGTATAGCTTTTAATAGCATTCTTTTATAATATTGTGTATTTCTGAGGTGTCCATTGTAATTTCCCCTTTCATTTCCGATTTCATTTGTTTGAGTCTTCTCTCTTGTTTTCTTGGTGAGTCGAGCTAAAGGTTTGTCAATTTTATTTATCTTTTCAAAGAACCAGCTCTTGGTTTCATTGATTTTTTTCATTGCTTTTTCAGTCTCTATTTCAATTATTTCTGCACGGATTTTTATTATTTCTTTCCTTCTACTGATTTGGGGCTTTGTTTCTTCTTCTTTTTCCATTTCTCTTAGGTGCATTGTTAGATTGTTTATTTGAGATTTTTGTTGTTTGCTGAGGTAGGCCTGTATTGCTATAAACTTCCCTCTTAGAACCGTTTTTGTAGATTCCCACAAATTTTGGCATCTCCTATTTTCCTTTGTCTCCAGGTATTTTTTGATTTCTCCTTGATTTCTTCATTGACTCAATCGTTGTGTAGTAGCATTTTGTTTAATCTCCACATATTTGTGGCTTTTCTGATTTTCTTCCTATAGTTGATTTCTAGTTTCATACCGTTGTGGTCAGAATAGATGCTTGGTATTATTTCAGTCTTCTTAAATTCGTTGAGACTTGTTTGGTGACCTAAGATGTTATATATTCCAGAGAATATTCCAAGTGAATTTCAAAAGATTAGTGGTTACCACAGGGGAAGAGGGGAAGGAGGAGGGTGAAAGGCATAATTAGGCACATGTGTGCGGTGATGGATTGTAATTCGTATTTATGTGGTGAACATGAGAACATAATGTAATCCATGCAGAAATAGAAGTATAATGATGTACACCTGAAATTTATACAATGTTATAAACCAATGTTACCACAATAAACAAACAAACAAAAAATAATAAATGAAAAGAATGTGTATTCTGTGGTGTTTGGATGGAATGTTCTGTATCCATCTACTAAGTCCATCCGGCCTAATGTGTCATTTAAGGCCAATGTTTCCCTATTGATCTTCTGTTTGCATGATCTATCCATGGGTGTAAGTGGAGTGTTATAGTTCCCTACTATTATTGTGTTGCTGTCTATTTCTACTTTTATGTCTGTTAATAATTGCTTTATATATATAGGTGCTCCTATGTTAAATGCATAGATATTTACAAGTGTTATATCCTCTTGTTGGATTGTTCTCTTTATTTTTATGTAGTGCCCTTCTTTGTCTCTTGCTACAGTTTCTGATTTAAAGTCTATTTTGTCTGATATAAGTATTGCTACCCCAGCTTTCTTTTCATTGCCATTTGCATGGCGTATCTTCTTCCATGCCTTTATTTTCACTTTGTGAGTGTCTTTATGTCTGAAGTCTTGTTTTTTATCCCATTGGCCACACTATGCCTTTTGATTGGAGCATATAGTCAATTGACATTTAAAGTAGCTATTGATAAGAATGTACTTACTGCCATTTTGTACCACCCCCCGCTGGTAACCACCAATATGTTCTCTGTAACTATGATCTTGGCTATTTTCTTTTTTCTGATTCCACATTTAAGCGAGATAATACAGTGTCTTTCTCTGTCTGACATTGAATTTAGCATAATGCCTTCAAGGTCCATCCATATTGTCGCAAATGGCAAGATTTGCTTCCTTTTTTGGCTGAATAATATTCCTGTGTGTATCTATATACCACAGTTTCCTTATCCACTCATCCATTCATAGACATTTAGCTGGTTTCTGTATCATGGCTATTGTCAATAATGCTGCTGTGAACATGGGGGTGCATCTATCTTTTTGAATTAGTGTTTTCATTTCTTTGGATAAATATCCAGAGGTAGAATTGCTGGATCATAAGGAAGTTATATTTTTAATTTTTTGAGGAACCTTCACACTGTTTTCCATAGTGGCTGCACCAGTTTGCATTCCCACCAGCAGTAAATGAAGGTTCCCTTTTCTCTACTTCCTCTCCAGCATTTGTTATCTCATGCCTTTTTGATAATAGCCATTCTAATGAGTGTGAGGTGACATCTTATTATGGTTTTGATTCACATTTCCTTGATGATTAGTGATGTTGAGCATATACCTGTCGGCCATCTGTATGTCTATATATCTTATTTCATTCCCTTTTCACAGCAACTCTTTGAGATAGGTACTATTATCATCCCCATTTTCCAAGTGAGGAAACTGAGGCACAGAGTGGCAAAGAGAGGTGCTCAAGGTCATACAGCTGAGTGGCAGTAGAGCCAGTATTTGAGCCTGGAGTCCACGCTTTTAGCTGTTATGCTGCATTGACTCCTGAAAATTATTTTCATCTGTTTGTCTTTCTCCATCATATTTGTCCATATGGACTTTTTGCACAGGTATAAACAGGACACAGGCAACTACTGTAACACCTGGTTTCACAGTTTTGAAGTGGCCCACTGCTGGACATTTAAAAAAGCTCCCAGATATACTGGTCTGCTCACCACCTGCCTTTTGGGTGATATTTAAGTGGTTTCTTTCTTTCATTCTTTTTTCTATCCATAGTGGACCTACTGTGAAAAATATTTGGTCAGACAACTCTTTTCCAGTTTTGTGACTTGTGATAGGACCCTGTGGTCAGTAGATGGAGTAACCGGGTGATTTGGTACCTTCTACAACGTGACAGCACAGTACCAGATGGGGGTCCAGAGACTCTAGGAAACTAGAGTCATGCAGATGGTTCCTCCTATTCCCACCAACGCGACACTGTATGTTTTGAATTTAATTTTTCCAATTTCACATGTCCATAAAGTACCTTAAGTGTAGCTATTTTATGTTTTATAAGCTTCTAGGAAGACGGTGATTTTTTCCACTGATTTGTGGCCTGGATTTCCTCTCGTGTAAAATATCTGTTTAACTCCTTTGACCTTTTGAAGATGATGCTGTATATCTAGGGCAGCTCCTCAGATCTGAGGATGCATCGCTGCTGTCAGGACTAGTGGCGCTGGAAACATCGTGAGTCCATGTGGCCACAGTGTTGGGAACTGTTGAGAGATTTACAGATCTACTCCACTTTAACTGCCACAAACTCCTCTGCAAGCTGAGAGATAGTATTCCCTCTGCTGTCTAGAGACTTATCATCAGCTAAGGTGCCAGGTGGGGTCTGGAACATTTTACCTGTATTACTGCATCTGAATGCTCCCCTGAATGTTTGAGCTTGCCTGATGTCGTCAGCTCCATCTTGCAGATGGGGAAATGTAGGCACCGAGATGTTAAGTCTCTGTCTTGATCCCACACTCTAGTTGGTGGTGGTGGACTCAAGCCCAGGTCTCTCTGGCCCTTTCTGACTCTGCTCTCCTGCCTCCAGATGGGGAAACTGAGGCCCAAAGTGGTGAAGTGCAGAGCCAGAGTCCTTCTGGAACACACTGCCTCAGCTATGTTCACCATGTGCCTCTTCCTAAAGAGAGCTCCTTTTAAGGAGAAACCACTTTTGGTTGAAATAGAATATGAATTGTTTCCCATGGATAATTTAAAACAACATGCCAGCTTTCTTGAGATATAAAATTCACATACCATACCATTCATACACTCCAAGTATACAGTTTAGTGGTTTTAAGTATATTCACAGAGTTGTGTGACTGTCCTTTGGATGAGTTTTAACATGTAATCATTGCACTTTCTTTGTGTGTTGACAACATCTGCCTCCGCCATGATCACACTTGCTCTCTTTGTTGCCTTCTGCCTCCCTTTCCTTGTTCTCCTCCATGTATTAAGGCCTTAGGATGTGGCAGGCTTCAGGCTGAGACTTTCTAAAAAAAAAAATATCTTTTGGGGCCGGACTGGTGGTGCAAGCGGTTAAGTGTGCACGCTCTGCTGCGGCAGCCCGGGATTTGCTGGTTCGGATCCTGGGCATGCACCAACACACTGCTTGTCAAGCCATGCTGTGGTGGCGTCCCATATAAAGTGGAGGAATATGGGCACGGATGTTAGCCCAGGGCCAGTCTTCCTCAACAAAAAAAGAGGAGGATTGGCAGATGTTAGCACAGGGCTGATCTTCCTCACAAAATAAAAAAAATAAAAATTAAATAAAATCTTTTGAGGTGACATCAGCAACATAGTTGAGTGAGCTGTTCCCTTAATCTCTCCCCCTTTGAACCATGGCTAAATGGACATTCATTGATCAATGGAGGATACCCACAGAGCACAGCAGGATGCCTGAGAGACTCCTGCAGCTATACATCTGAAGGTGGATGGAGTACCCACAAGGAGGTGGTAGAGATAGGTGAGCACTCTTTGGTCCCCCAGCAGCCCTCTGTATGCATGCGACTGCTCTTCCCGCTGGAGCATCATAGTACTGCTGCGGCCTCAAAGGTGGGAGCATGCCTTGGGATGACTGCAGGAGCAGGTGACAGCAATTCTGAGCCCTCGTGTGATCACTTTGCCGTCTGGTGTGAGACCCCACAGTACCGCCACAGTCCCAGGGAGTTGCCCAGGCTCAGACCTGTGGGGAGCTCCTGCCCCCCAACCACATTGGCCCACGCAACATAGGAAGAGGCGGCAGCTGGTCGGCATGCCCAGGTGAATGATTTCCTGGATGCTGCAAATGCCCATAGTACTGTTGAGGCCCCAAAGGTAGGAATGCATCTCAGCGAGGCCATGGGAGCAGGCGGCAGGAGCCCTGAGCCCCCATGTGATCACTTTCCCATACAGTGGGAGACCCCACAGTGCCTCTGTGGTCCCAAGGAGTGGCCCAGGCTCAGAACCATAGGGGACGCCCTTCCCACCAAGCACAGCAGCTGGAGTCACCTTAAGTAGAGGCAGTGGCAGATCTACACAAACCCAGGTGAATGATTTCTTGGCTACCTTGAATGCCCATAGTACTGCTACAGCCCCGAGGGTGGGAGCATGCTTCAGCAGGACTGTGGGAGCACACGGTGGCAGACCTATGGCCCTGTGTGATTGCTTTCCCAACTGGTGGGGGTGCCCACAATGCCACTGCAATCCCAAGGAGTGGCCCAGGCTCAGACAGGCAGAGCTGCCCGAGATCATGCTGGGCTCAGAATATAAAGCTCTTGCCCCCACCCACCAGTGGTGGCAGGTGGAATCTTCAACCAGATACTACCACTATGCAAAGACACAAATCCACCCCATCAAATGGTATGAAGAGGTATATTAGTACTTCAGACCAGAAGGAAAAAGACAAGCACCCAGAAATCAAGCCTGAAGGCACAGACATTTACAATCTAAATGACAGAGAATTCAAAATAGCTATCATAAAAAGCCTTAACGAGTTACAGGAAAACTCAGAAAGACAGTTCAATGAAAGTAGGAATAAAATTAACAAACAGAGGGAATTCTTCACAAAAGAGAGTGAATCTATACAGACAAACTAATCAGAAATGTTGGAGATGAAAAACACGATGAATGAGGTAAAGAAAAATCTGGAGTCTTTAAATAACACAGCTGATAGTATGGAGGACAGAATTAGCAATTTTGAGGACAGAAATATAGAAATGCTTCAGATGGAGGAAGAGAGAGAACTAAGATGAAAAAGAAATGAAAAATTCTCCAAAAAATATCCAACTCAATTAGGAAATTCAACATAATGATTATAGATATTACAGAGGGAGAAGATAGGGAGAAAGGAGCAGAGAGCTTGTTCAAAGAAAAAATAGCTGAGAACTTCCCAAACCTGGGGAAGGAACTGGAATTACAAATAAATGAAGCCAATAGAACTCCTAATGTCATCAATACGAAAGGGCCTTCTCCAAGGCATACATTAGTAAAATTGGCAAAAGTCAATGGCAAAGAAAAAATGTTAAGGGCAGCAAGCCAGAAGAGAATAATCTGTAGAGAAACCCTATCAGGCTTTCAGGGAACTTCTCAGCAGAAACCTTACAGGCTAGGAGAGAGACAAATGATATATCGAAAATACGGAAAGACAAAAACTTTCAGCCAAGAATACTCTATCCAGTGAAACTATCCTTGAGATATGATGGAGAAATAAAAACTTTCCCAGATAAACAAGAACTAAGGGAGTTTATCACCACAAGACCCCCCCTACAAGAAATGATCAAGAATGCCCTCACACCTGAAACAAAAAGGAAACGGTTTCCAAACCCTTGAGCAAGGAGATAAATAGGCAGACAAAATCAGAAACTAGCAGCTCTCTATCAGAACAGTTTAGCAAACACTCAATTATAACGTTAAAGACAAAGGGAAGGAAAGCATCAAAAATAATTATAAAAACGCTTCATTTTAAACACAGGTTCACAACACAAAACGGAATAATTTGTGACAACAATAACTTAGACGCAGAAGAGGAAATGGATGGTTCCTGCTTAGGCTAGTGGAGATAAGAATCTATCAACAAATGGACACTCGCATCTACGAGATCTTTTAGACAAACCTCAGAGTAAGAAATAAACAAAAAATCAGAACAGAGACACAAATGATAAATACGAGAAAACTGAGAAAACCATCGTAGAAAATCACCAAACTGAAATGGCAGTCAGAAATACATGGAAAGAGATACAAGAGAAATACAGCACAACTGGAAAACAAGAGATAAAATGGCAGCCCTAAGTCCTCATATATCAATAATCACTCTAAATGTAAATGGATTGAATTCTCCAATCAAAAGACCCAGACTGGCTGGCTGGATTACAAAACAGGACCCAACAATAGGTGTGCCTACAGGAAACACATCTTCCTTTGTGCCTACAGGAAACACATCTCAGCTCTAAAGACAAACATAGACTCACAGTGAAGGGATGGAGGACAACACTCCCAGCAAATGGCGAGCAAAACAAAGCAGGTGTTGCCACGCTTATATCAGACAAAGCAGAATTTAAGATAAAAAAGGCAATGAGAGACAAAGAGGGGCAGTATATAATGACAACAGGAACATTCCACGAAGAGGACATAACACTTATGAATACATATGCACCTAACACAGGAGCGCCAAAGTACCTAAAGCAACTATTAACAAACCTAAAGGGAGAAATTAACAGCAACACAATAATAGTAGGGGACTTCAACACCATGCTTCCATCAATGGACAGATCATCCAGAAACAAAGTTAACTAGGAAATAGTGGAATTAAGTGAAAAACTAGGACAGACTTAATAGACATATATAGAACATTCCATCCAAAAACAGCAGTATACACATTCTTCTCAAGTGCACACGGAACATTCACAAAGATAGGCCATATGATGGGAAACAAGGCAAACCTCAATAAATTTAAGAAGTATGAAATCATGTCAAGGATCTTTTCTGACCATAATGCTATGAAACTAGAAATCAACTACCAGAAAAAATCTAGGGAAAGTCACAAATATGTGGAGAGTAAACAATATGCTACTGGACAACAAATGGATCAATGAAGAAATCAAAGGAGTAATCAAAAACATCTGGAGACAAATGAAAATGAAAATACATCATACCAACTCTTATGGGATGCAGCAAAGCGGTTCTAAGAGGGAAATTCATAGCAATACAGGACAACATCAAGTAACAAGAAAAATCTCAAATAAATAATCTTAAACTCCACCTCACAGAACTAGAAAAAAGAAGAACAAACAAAGCCCAAAGTCAGAAGAAGGAGGGATATCATAAAAATTAGATGAGAAATACATGAAATAGAAACCAAAAATTCAGTAGAAAGTTTCAATGAAACTAAGAGCTGGTTCTTTGAAAAGATAAGCATAATGGAAAAACCCTTAGTGATACTCACTAAGAAACAAAGAGAGAAGGCTCAAATAAATGAAATTAGAATTGTAAGAGAAGAAATTACAACAGATACCACAGAAATACAAAGGATTATAAGAGAATACTATGAAAAACTATATGCCAACAAATTGGATAACCTAGAAGAAATGGATAAATTCTTACACTCATACAACCTCCAAAAACTGAATCAAGAAGTAATAGAGAATCTAAATAGGTCAGTCACAAGTAAAGTGATTGAAACAGTAACCAAAAACCTCCCCCAAAATAAAAGTCCAGGATCAGATGGCTTCTCTGGAGAATTCTACCAAACATTCACAGAAGATTTAGTGCCTATCATTCTCAAACTACTCCGAAAAATTGAGGAAGATGGAACACTTCCTAACTCATTCTATAAGGCCAAGATCACCCTGATACCAAAACCAGACAAGGACAACAGAAAGAAGGAAAATTACAGGCCAATATCGCTGATGAACATACATGCCAAAATCATTATCAAAATATTGGCAAACCAAATACAGCAACACATTAAAAGGATCATACACCATGATCAAGTGGGATTTATACCAGGGATGCAGGGATGGTTCAAAATCTGAGAATCAATCATTGTGATACACTACATTAATAAAATGCAGAATAAAAATTGCATGGTCATCTAAATAGATGCAGAGAAAGCATTTGACAAGATCCATCATCCATTTATGATAAAAACTCTTAAGAAAATGGGTATGGAGGGAAAGTACCTCAACATAATAAAGGCCATATGTGACAAACCCACAGCCAACATCATTCTCAGTGGTGAAAATTGAAAGCCAACTCTCTGAGAACAGGAACAAGACAAGGGTGCCCACTCTCACCCCTCTTATTCAACATAGTACTGGAGCTTTTGGCCAGAGCAATTAAGCAAGAAGAAGAAATAAAAGGTATGCAAATTGGAAAGGAAGAATGGAAACTCTTGCTGTTTGCAGAAGACATGATTCTATATATTAAAAAACCTAAAGAATCCATCAGTAAACTATTAGAAATAATCAACAACTACAGCAAAGTTTCAGAGTACAAAATTACCTTACAGAAATCAGTTGCATTTCTATACACTGGTGAGGAACTATCAGAAAGAGAACTCAAGAATTCAATCCCGTTTACAATCGCCACAAAAAGGATAAAATATCGAGGAATAAATTTAACCATGGAGGTGAAAGACCTATACACTGAAAACTATAAGACATTATTGAAAGAAATCGAGCTGATATAAAGAAATGGAAAGATAGTCCATACACACAGATTGGAAGAATAAAAATAGTTAACATGCCCATCTTACCTAAAGCAATCTACAGATTCAATGCAATCCCAATCAGAATTCCAATGACGTTCTTCACAGGACTAGAACAAAGAATCCTAAAACTTATGTGGAACAACAAGAGAACCTAAATAGCCAAAGCAATCCTGAGAAAAAAGAACAAAGCTGGATGCATCACAATCCCTGACTCCAAATTTACTACAAAGCTGTAGTAGTCAAAACAGCATGGTATTGCCACAAAAACTGACAAACAGATCAATGGAAGAGAATTGAAATCCCAGAAATAAAACCACACATCTATGGACAGCTAATCTTCAACAAAGGAGCCAAAACATACAATGGAGAAAGGAAAATCTCTTTAAAAAATGATGTTGGGAAAACTGGACAGCCACATACAAAAGGATGAAAGTAGACCATTCTCATGCACCATGCACAAAAATTAACTCAAAATGGATGAAAAACTTGAATGTAAGACACGAACCCATAAAACTCCTAGAAGAAAATACAGGCAGTACACCCTTTGACATCGGTCTTAGCAGCATCATTGCAAACACCATGTCTTCTCAGAAATGGGAAATAAATGGACTACATCAGACTAGAAAGCTTCTGCAAGGCAAAGGAAAACAAGTACAAAACGAAAGGACAACCCACCAACTGGGAGAAAATATTTGAAAATCATATACCTGACAAGAGGTTAATCTCCAAAATATATAAAGGACTCACACGGGCCGGCCCCATGGCTTAGCAGTTAAGTGCGCGCGCTCCGCTACTGGCGGCTCTGGTTCGGATCCCGGGTGTGCACCGATGCACCGCTTCTCCGGCCATGTTGAGGCCACGACCCACATACAGCAACTAGAAAGATGTGCAACTGTGACATACAACTATCTACTGGGGCTTTGGGGAAAAAAAGAAGGAGGATTGGCAATAGATGTTAGCTCAGAGCCGGTCTTCCTCAGCCAAAAGAGGAAGATTAGCATGGATGTTAGCTCAGGGTTGATCTTCCTTACACACACACACAAAAAAGAACTCATACAACTCAACACCGAAAAAAAAAAAACTCGATTGAAAAATGGGCAGAGC